ACTATGACCTTCATGACACCATTAACACTGCATACAATAATTATAATTTGCCGAGCTCTATTTCTCTTTCAAACATCTATGATTTTAAATCACAACTAATCCCATTATGACATCAACCGGGTGAACCTTGAGCTATTTTCTATAGTATAAATCGTGGCCTCACCTCTTCATGACATTGTTTAAGGTGAGCCTGATAGCCTCCTTAAAAAGAAAAAACTAATGAAATTCTGGGGCGATGCAATTTGCATGCTTTATCATATCTCTCTTCTCCATGATGTAACCCGTCTCACCCTTGTATGAAATCTAACTTAGCCATCCTTGTAGCCTTATTGTCTTGAGTAAATTAGCAAAATTCATGAAGATATGTTGACCATTTTCGTTCTTAACTTTCCAAGCATCTCTATACTAATTTCATAAGCTTGTCCATTAAACAATTCATCCATTGACTCACTCGACCTTGGGCTAAAGGGAAGCATATTTAAACCCAGCATATCAAGCCTATGAATTGTCTTTCCACTTTATGTTCCTCATCTTTAAATTAATGGCATGGCTTCCTCCAATCCAATGAACAGATATGAGAAGGGAACCAAAACTCCAAAAAATTTAGGCATAGTTGTCTGCATATACATTAACTTAAAATAGAAGTATAACATGTTGCAAGCTTGTACACCTCAATTGAAAATTCACAAGCTTTAAAAATTCATAAAATAATGTTGCTTTCTTCATCGTTTAGGTGAGTTGCTCAAGGTATATTAAAACCTCACAAAAAATGTGAAAGAAGAAATATACTTGATTTTGATTCAGGGATGAGTTGCAAACAATACTCATGCTACTTGAAAATGAGATAACGAAGGCTTGCTCACTCTCTCACTTAAAGTTCTTAAGCTTCCTAACTTGCAATCTTGAACTAATGGTTGAACAAAATCACATTTCTATGTGCATATCTGATGACCATTTACCAATCATGGAAAGTGAAATAGCCTAATGTTGTTGAATGCTAAAAAATAAAACATTAACCTTTTGAATTTTTCTACTTAGGGTCCTGCAGAATAAAATGTAATATTGTGTAAAAGAATGTAGTGTTTTGAAATTTTTGGAATTGTTTGGATGAGTATAAAAAAATGAAGGCTTGCTTAGCACTCTCTCGCTTAAAGTTTTTAAGTTTCCTAACTTGCTTCTTGAACTAATGGTTGAACAAAATCATATTTCTATGTGCATATGTGATGACCATTTACCCAATCATGGAAAGTGAATATCTTAATGTTGTTGAATGCATAAAAAATAAACAATAACCTTTTGAATTTTCTACTTAGGGTCATGTAGAGTAAAATGTAATATAGTGTAAAAAGAATGCAGTGTATTTAAAATTTTTGGAGTTTGGATGAGTGTAAAAAAATGAATGCTTAGCACTCTCTCGCTTAAAGTTTTTAAGCTTCCTAACTGCATCTTGAACTAATGGTTGAACAAAATCACATTTCTATATGCATATGTGTTTACCATTTACCCGATCATGAAAATGGAATGGCCTAATGTTGTTGAATACATAAAAAATAAACAATAACTTTTTGAATTTTCTACTTAGGGTCTTGCAGAGTAAAATGTAATATAGGGGCTGTTTGGTTGCCTGAAAAAAAAAAAATACAGTGTAAAGTAAATGCAATGTAAAGTAAATGTAATGCATTTAGAATATTTTGCTATGTTTGGTTGTCTGCAAAAGAAACACAGGAGATTTGTTTCCCTTGTTTGGTTAGGTATATCCAGAGTAAAGTAAAATTAACTTTTTTTTTTAATTATTTTTTACAGGGAAGAGAACTACCTTCAGTGAACACCATTGCATCTATAGATCTAGTGGCTTTTGACACTAAAGTTGTCTTCTATCATTTTCTGTAGCTTGCTAAAGTCACCATATGGCTGCACAAATATTTGACTTAAAAAGATTTCTTTAAAAAATTATATCTGAATATCCTGATATAAAATATATTTTAAATTTTTAAATCTACACTAAAATTAATCATATATATATATATAGTTAAACACTTCGCCGCTACAGCAATACTCCGGTCGTCGTAACGCCTCACAAGCGCTCCGGCAAGCCACCGCCGCCTCACCTTCTCCAATCCTCAGCTTCGCCGGACACCTCTGGTTCAAATCCACCACACACCCCGTCGATGCACACCTCCCATTCCCCCCTTCGACGATCATCGCCAAGTTGAATCAATCAACAAGGCTAACATCATAGAAATCAAAATTGTTTCGCTCGCCGCCGGCGAGAGAGAACTCGGCGAGGGTCGCCGGAGGTGTTTGGCCTGTTGCGCAGGAGCCGTTGTTGGAGCTGTGGAAAACGCAACTGGTTCGGGTCTAGAGGCGGCCGGACCAGTTGGGAGGGGATTGGAAGGAGCGAGAAGAAGCAGTAGGGAGTTCGAAGCCGGCGGAGGAAAGCGGGGGGTGGCCGCGTTGGAGAGGATGGCCGGCCATACTGTGAAGTGGCATTTGTTGAAGGTGAAAGAAGCAGTAGGGAGTTCGAAGCCGGCGGAGGAAAGCGGGGGGGGGCCGGCGTTGGAGAGGATGGCCGGCCATACTGTGAAGTGGCATTTGTTGAAGGTGAAGGTGGTTGTTGCTTGTTCCAGTCGACCGAGTGGCAATTCTGAACCCTGTCACGGCCGTGGCAGGGAGCTCGTCGTCCTCTTCACCGTCGCCCTCATCTGCCACACTCTGCAACGCCATTACCTGTGCAAGCCTCGCTGCTGCCGCCTTTGCCGCCACATTCTGCGTCCTCATAACCGTCGACATTCCCCCAACGCCGGTGACCGTTAGTGACGACGAGCGGTGGTGCCCCGTCGACATCGTCGGCGACGACGAGCTCATGTTACTCGATCCCCCGCTTCTCTGTCGCGCATGCATCGGGCTTGATCCCCTTCTCCACTCCATTACCACTCCTCAGATCTCCCCTGTTACAGAACCCAGAGAGAAAGCAGGGACGTCCGATGGAAATTGGACGGAAATGATTTGGACAAAATATGAAGTGGGCAGGTGGAACGGAACAGGCGTTGAAGTCGGGAGGAAATTTATCGAAGGAGCGAAGTCGAACAAGAATGAAGGAGCCGAAGAAGCCACTCATGCAATCTTACACCTCTAGAAAGTTACTATTGCGTCACCTGCGAGCTCCCGTACTAACTTTCGATGAAAATCTCGCAACTGCCGATCGGACAGGCAAAGCGAACGTAGTCGAAGGACCGAAGTCGAACAAGAACGAAGGAGCCGAAGAAGCCTTTCGTGCAATGAAGCCGAACATCACGATGACGATGCCAAAGATTTCTTCCGATGAATTTATAACCCTCTCATATTGAGCGGGTTTCTAATTCGCGCGAAACACACTCCCTTATACACGCCTAATACTTCGGATGATTTCCTTTTGTTCCGCTCAAAATTAACCAAACAACCAAATTTAGTAAATGCATGTAATTGTTTTACTTTACACTCCTAATTCAGGCAACCAAACAGCCCCATAGTGTAAAAGGAATGCAATGTATTTGAAAATTTTGGAGTTGTTTGGATGAGTGTAAAACAAATGCAAGTGATTGTTTTATAAAAATGAATGCATTGTAAAACCCAATGATGGTGATTGTTGGTGTCCAACAATTGGCGGCTGGTTGCAGATAACAAAGGCGGTAGGCAATAGGCAGGGGATAGCGGCGGCAGGTGACCAAATCAACCAAAAATCCCACATCTTACATAAGGTTCTTCAAGTTAAGATGAAATCCGTGAATAACTAATGATCATGCCCTGCCTTTTTAGCTCGTCTTGTCTTGTCCACCACTTTAAATTGCTAGCATCCATGCTTTATGCCTGTATACTATTCATTGAAATTTGTATGATTAATCCTTTGCTTGTAAGCGACTTGGTGTTAATCTTGAAAGCATGTATTTGGCACACATATTTCCACGCTAGTTTGTCTAGATACCTGAGAGGAGCAACTGATGTTTATCGAACAAATTCCTTGGATATGATGGTTTACTGCCCTTTGATGCTCAGATTGGGTCTATTGGTATACTCAAGATGACATAATCATGAGATCTTGATTGGATCTACTTCAACTATTCCCCATGAACTAAATTCAAAATCTAAATAGTAAATTTGACCTTAAAAGTGAGCCTAAGAAATCACCTTAATTGAGAGCATTGTTCCAAGAAGCTGCTGGTGTAATTAATTGTTGGGGCGTGCTCCCATTAGAAATAGTGATCTTGGATTTAAACAAAGCCTATCTAAACATCAGGGAAAGTTTGGTTAAAATAAATCTAATATACCTCATGAAGATTTACTTTTGAGTTTTCTATTTCATATACACTTTAAGGGGGCTCACAGGAAGGGGCATGCTTTTCCTGGCCAATACCCTGCCCACAACCTTTTGTTGGCATCCACCGACATGTAACTACTCTAGCTTAGACTTTGTTCTTACAAATACATAAATTCCTATGTAGAAACAACTAGTGTGGTCCTCGTGGTGCTTGATGCGGGCTTACCTGTTAGAATATTGATTAAGGGTGAGGAAACAAATGCTAAATGCTTATCTTTTTCTTAGTGTGGCGCAAAGTCAGCATTTGCCTCTTTTTTATCCCCGTTCATCTCAACAACTTTCTTTGGTATTCTGCTTGTTATATTGGAGGTTAATTCATGCTATTGGTCAAATTTCCTTCCTACTGCAAATGATGATATTGCTGATATAATAAGCGGAAGAAGATCAAGGTTGAAAAAAGTTAAGCGTGAAAAGTATTTTGATCACGTACAAGAAAGATGCTTGTTTTGTTGAAGTAGAGGGGCAAAATTATTCATGTTTATAACAACCTTTTTTTTGGGAGTTATTCTTAAACTCTTGTACAGGAGGATACCTTTTTTTTCAATGTAATTTTCATTCAGATATTCATGTTTACTTCACAAAATTATGATTAGTTACCTCCATATGTATCATGGGAGGAAATTGATGCACCTAATTTTTCTGACAGGATCTGGCAGGACATTCCAGTGCTTGTCATGGTCAGCATGCTTGCGTACTTCTGTTTCCTGGAGCAACTTTTGGTAAGTTTTTGTATTTCTGTAAGTATCATTTCAGGATAAATGCGTCCAGGCTTCAAAGTTTACTTTCTTATGCATGTTACTGTTTATTTTGATGGAACAGGTTAATGATATGGGCTCACGTGCTCTTGCTATCTCTCTTCCTTTCTCTTGTGTGTTGGGTCTACTCTCATCTATGATAGCTTCCACAATGGGTAATTTCATTGTTGAGTTTTCTCTTAAGCATTCACATATTTCTTATTAACATTGCAGGCATGTCAGTTTAAGTTGCAAATTGCAATGAAATGGAAGTGAGAATAACTTATTATTCATATTCCCATCAACGTGACTTATATTATCTATTTTGCGATGGTGATGATATTATGCAGAACTTGCCATACATAATTTTTCTTCCATCAACGTGACTTATATTATCTAAAAGCTGCATCAATCATTGCTTAAACTTATTTCTGTTGGTCTTGTCTGCAGTTAGCAAGAGCTACATCTGGTCTTATGCTTCCTTCCAGTTTGCAACTGTTATTCTCTTTGCTCATATTTTTTACAATGTGGTGAGTGGAGGGTCCTTTTTAGTTGAAGAGTGGTCTAATAAACTGTGATCACTAAGTATTATGGATATTTTTATAATTATACAGCTTAAAGTTGCTGCGGTGCTTTCTGTACTACTTTCGTCATTCACCGGCTTTGGGATTGCAATTAGTACAAGCTCTTTGCTTGTAGAGTATTTAAGATGGCAAGCTAGGAGAAATCATAGTTCAGGACAACAGCAGAATAGTGGTGCCCAACAACAATCAAATGTGAACAATGCAAACAATGAACCCCCCGAACATACAGAAAATAATCAGCAGCAAGAAGCTTTGAGCCTGGGCCAGAACACTAGTGCTTCACAACATAGCTGAACTTCTGAAACTACTTCAGGTAATTAATGAATCAGCCTGTTATTTTAGGCAGCAATTTAAATGCATGCCAAATAAATCTTCTTAATCCATATTTAACACCCAAAAAGTCATACTTATGCAGATGACAGCCTAATTCTTCTGCATCCTAAACTCCGACTAATCATGATTGGATTAGTCCTAGTGGTGCACGGGTGGAAACAATATAATCCTCCATTAATCTTATGAAAAGCTTGTTGTGGTCTGATAAGGTCTTGAGGTGTATTCAACTAGTTTGGCATATTCCACAGGCCTGTGGTGAGTGATGAGTTTAGGACAAGTCTAGACGCCTCTAGTGAGGTGTGAATTTTGGTTATGATTTGATGGAGTCTATTGTATGCTTGCAATGGCTCAATACGTTCGATTGTGATTTGATTAAAGTTTGAAGATAGTCTGATAATTGAAGGGTGAAGTCTGAGTGTGTTAGGTCATGGTTTGGCGATTGTTGGTAGTTGATAAATAATTTGAGGCATGAACATGAGAATTGTAGAGGATTGTTTAGTTTAGGCTATCATGTTATATGTTACATCATCAGAATGACTTCAATGAGGATTGTACGCAAGTCAGCTTGTTAACATCCGCCGGGATCTTAGAGGATGAGTGGCAGTAGCTAGGTATTTTGGTTGGCTTCCTTTTGGAGGTCATGCATGGTGTGAAGTAAACTTATTGCATGGTTTTCTTTGGGCTTCCTCTTTATTAAGTGTTGGTGTACTTGGGCTTTATGATGGTATGGTGAATGCCCTTTTATTTTTCGCGCACAGATTTTTTTTAGCTGGCTTAATTGTAGCCGAAGAACATAAATCCTGGCGTCTTTTGTTTTTTCATGTTCTTAATCTTTTTTGTGTTTGTTTTTGCTGCATTATACTCGCTTCTTGTGATGCTTCCTCATTAGAATTTCGGTGTTCTTGTTTCAACAATTGTACTTGTCCCACGTTATTGCTGCTACTTGTCTGTGCCTTGATTTGCGAGGCTTTGTGCATTGACTTTAAAATTTAAATGAAACTTCTTTTAGTCAAAATTTGAAGGAAAGAAAACCAAGGCAATTATTTAGGGGAATGGATTGCATGTGGTGCATACATCTCATTAAGGTGTGAGGACTAAATTAATAGCATCTACCTATCTTATGCATCATTATAATTTTAGAGACCTGTAGTAGATTGGGGATATTGTTGGACAAAAATTGCATTGGTTGACCTCTGGTAACAGTCAATTATTAGAAAGCAAATGAACGACAGTAGAATTACTTATTTATCTACAACAATATTTTTGAATCAATTCAATCCAGGACTAGATTTAGGACTGTCATTTGCTACAACAACAATAAGTTATTCATTACAATTAACTTAGCTTATTACATGAAAACATATGCTCTGCAAATAAGCATTGTTCTCATGTCTTATGTCCTTCAACTCTCCCAATCATTTATTGAAATGGGTATAAGGGAACAAAAAGGTATCGCCGCTTGGAAGAAGGCATCACCATTGGAAACTTTGATCTTTTGTTCTGCAATCTTCATAGATATCTTTGAATGAAAAGTAATATTTTCTTATGATTTTTATTCTCTTCAAGTCATAGCCCCCCTCTCGTATACATGCCCTTTTATATTCTTGGGTCGTCTGGTAAAGTCTCTACTGTTTTAAACATATTGATCTTTGGCTAGTTTGTTTCAAAAGAACGTTAAGAGAATACGTACATAGGGTTGACTGGATAGATAATATTTGGCGAATTTAAAGGTTTAGAAGCCATATGTTCTTACTTTGGATCTTTCTTCTTGATTAGTCTGGGGTAAAGCTGTGAATAATCAGATGACATCTTTGTTTCAGCGGCTAAATAAGTCTATCTCATACTAAACGAAAGCTCTTTTCATCAAACACTTGAATTCATCCATATCCTTTCATTTTATGCCTCAATAATGCAATTTAATTGCATGATATCATGACTACACATCTGAGGGTGGTTTCACGAATGTTGAATCTATTTTTGGGGCCGTTTGGTTGCAGTATTTGGAAATCTATTGTATTCTAAATTTATTGCAAAGCAAATTCATTGTATTTGAAATACTTTGTGATGTTTGGTTGGTTGCAGAATAAATTTAGGAGATGAGTTTCTTATATTTGGATTGTTATAAAATAAATTCTGTTTTTTTTTTTTTAACTTTATTGAATACAATTTTTTTATGGGATAAGGGGTGGGTGACAGATGGTAAACAGTGGGCACCGAGCAATGGCAATGGGCGGCAGTGACGGCGGCGGTGGAGGTGAGTAATTGGTGGCTATTTCGGGGTGGCAGTTGCATATGGGGAAGGTGAGTGTATTTAGAGACTCCCAATTTGGGTAATTTTGGAGTACACCAAAACTGAAGTAAATGGTGAATTCTAAATATATTAACAAATTACTTTGGATTTATTTTTCATCAAAACAAATAACTAAATTTTTTAATTTTATGCATTTATTTTACACTACACTTAAAATGGCTCCTTGAAGTCAAACTGTCAAAGCAAACTCTTGTGATCTGATGCTTAGACAATGATGGTTCGTCCACTGTGGCGTAGAAAAAGAAGTTTCTAAAATATTTTTCTCAGGAAAATTGTAATTGCAATTGCAATTATTTTTTAATCCTTTTGTTGATACTTTGGATCTCTTCTAAAACTTGACTGACCACATTTGGAAGAATTTTCCTTTATCCTTTCATAATTTTCTTTTGACTCAATTTTGAGTTAACTCTCCAAATCAAATTAGATTTGACTAATTGTTCAGGGAGTTTCAGCTTTAGATAACATCGGTTGTCTCGGCAAAGAATATCAACTTCTTCTTTTTTGGGAACATGGTATTCACTTGTTGCCGCACCCGAAAGGGTGCTTGGCGGCGTGACTAATTCTCGACTGACCTAGAAGAGGCACCCACCTTAGAAACCTCCTGACCCGCATTTGATTGAGTCCCACTTAAGAGGCGCTACCACCTAGAGGGATTCGAGCACGGTTGGGGGGTTCCCAACCACACTCTCCCCACCAACCAAACTAAACAACGGTGGGTTATCTTTTTCTTTCTAGATACATCTGTTGGACAAATGAGACGCGCTGATTTTGTCGCCAGTCACTTCACTTCACTTATAAGCACGCAAAACTAAGTTTACCCTTGTCCTTAAAACTCTTTAATACCCCAAGTCAAAAACCCTATAGCTTTTGAAAGATGATACTATATTTACTAATACTATCGTATATGCTTGCAGATTAAGCTATGAACATTGCTCTAGGCCAACCAACCGTGTAAGGGCGAAAGCTGGCTTAATTGTTTGTAACCTGCCATTGCTGCAGCTGATGAAGCTGCAGGCAGACAAGAGAATATATAAATAGATTGAACTCGTCAAAATAACCGAAGTGAATATCAGTCGATCAGAGTATATATATAGGTACACATCTTTACCTTTCCTGGTAGGTTTGTAGAGCTGTGAGGGGTTTGCAAAGCATGTAAATTGCAAGTTCAAGAGTCTGCCATGGCCGGACTTGTAATTCTTGCGTGAAGAAACTTTGTTTGGGTTAGTTTTATGATGCAATGATGAATAATTATTGTCAATTGTAGCGTATTCTTCCTTCAGCAGTCTTTTGATAGGAGATAAAATACATTATTTTTGTAAAAATGGATGTAAGGATATTAATATGAAATTAAGGTTTCGTTTGGGGTAATTTTCTTATTATTTAAACAATTTTTTAGTTCAAAAATTGTGATGGCATTAGACAATTGTGATTGTTGTTTTTCAAAACACTTAAAATACAACAAAATTATATTGAATATTTTCTTTAACTTTTGAATAGAAATAAAAATATGTAAAAAATATAGATCCCAAAATTGATATAGTACAATACCAATTTTATTTTTTTTTTTAATTTCTATCTGTTAGCTAAAAATCTAATATGGAGTCTTAATTATGATTCTCACTAATCTGATTGAGCCTAAGCATATTCTTTGGGTAAACTTTGGATTAATTTTATATTCACATAATGTATTTGATATATTATTTTTATAAGATGAATTAATTATAAATAATTTATATTTTATTGATTAGTTTTCGAAATATCTGAATAAACACATTTCTTTCAATATATGTAACAAAGTAATCATTCATCTAACTATCATTTCATTATACATTTGATTTTTTTTTTTTTTGACACTTAATTTATTGAGAATGCATTCTATGATTAAAATAACAATCCACAGAAAGCATCAGCGTCTGTTTTCATCAAATTTCAACATTACTAATTCCTTACAAATGAATAATAAATTAAATATGATAAAACTGAAATACCAATTTTGTAAAACAAGCAAATATACTTTAAGAAACAATCATAGAAAGGAACAATTATTATGTCCTCCGACCGGACGTAGAGAAACGTCCGGTCGGAGACCAAATCGCGTCAAAAAATGAGAAATACCGAGCAATACCAAACAATAACGAGGAATACCATCACGTGAAGACCCAATACCGAGTTATACAAAAGTTGTACCGAGTTTTTCCTAGAAAAAACTCGGTATAGCTCGGTATTGGTCTTCACAGAGCGGTATTCCTCGTTATTATGAAATAATACATAACAATACCGAGCAAATACCAAGATTTTTTGTGGGATTTTACAAAAAATATTACAAATTGCGTATGCAGAACAAAACGAAGAAAATACACAAATTGGAAGGGTAAATAAATATGGGGACAAAAGTTCCAAATTAAAAAAAAAGGACCAATCTCTACAAATGAAGTAGAAAACTATTCAAAAAAATTTATTCCTTAGAAAACACAATGTATTAATACTATGATTCTTAGGTCCACTATTCCACCATTTTTTTTTTTTGTATAAAAGGGTGAGAGACTGAACATTATTATAACTTTATTTTAAATCAGCAAAGCATAACTTAAAAAAATATTAAAAAAAAAATTCACCAATGATAAACAGGAACTTGTTAAGCTCCGATTATTGACCAAAACCTCCTTTAGGACCACCCACACTTACGTCTCCATACAGATTGATAAGTAGCCGTTGAAACCAATGTACAGTAATTGGATCATTCTGTGAGATATCAACCAAATATAAGAACTGGAGTTTTATTGCATAGTTAGAGAAATTGCAAACTACTAATATTGAATTATAAAAGCAAGAACATGTTTAGAGTAAAAAAAAAAAACGAATTTGCATCATCATACCAAGTTTTGATGAAGCTCATGGTTCTAAGATCTCGGGTAGCTGAACTATTTAGAGGGTTTTACACGACAGATTATGGGCATGCAAGCCATCTAAGCAATTATCAGTTGGGTTCATGGTGTAAATTAGTCAGAGTTGGGCTCAAGCCACCCCTAACTTGAGGTTGAAGTTGACTAATTAAACGAGTTCAAACTCATGAACTCAATCTTATAAATTTGAGCCGGTTTGTGTGCCCGTTCATTTATCATGAAAAAAAGAATATATTCTAATTCCAAAAAATTTCATGATAAAAATAATGATACATAAGAGCAAAAATAATAAGAAAATTAGAAGAGATAAAGACTGCAATGATCATGAATTTGAATCAATAAAACTATATTTCTGTACTGCATTGTTAAAAATGAGTACATCTAAACCTCACCAAAGATTTAAAGAAATTATTTTGAACGGAGACCGGATGCAAAACGACGTCCGGAGACCAACTAGAATGTAAGTGGTACTGAGCCACGGTATCGAGCGAAGGGGTGATGTAACGCATTCTGATTGGTCTCCAATGACCTTCGGTGTCCGCACAAAATAATTAATCCGAAATTCCGCACTGGTGATAAGTCCAATGCAAATAGTATGCCCTTTATAATATTTATAAGTACTTACACGAATAAGATTTTCGAAAGTTCCATCCTTCAATCTGACAGGTAGTTTTTCCCGCAAAGCAATGCAAGCTTGGTATCTGCAGAAAAAAGCAATATCGTAAAGATGCCCATGTATGAAGATCATCATATCAGAATAGATCTTATATAGAGGAGAGTAATAGAAACTAAAATCATTAGAATTGATGCCATTTTTATGAAGTAACCAACCTACGATCTTCTGAAAATCGCAGGTAACAACGAATGATATGTCTCAGCAACCTGATCGATGGTTGCTCTACAAGTGACTCAACCATAGTTCCAAGAACTTGATTCACACAATGAAAACGATCCGGAGTTGAACAAATATAATAAAGCCCAACTTCATCCAATATAATTTTTTGCAAAATGAAGGTTGACACCTAGAAATACAAGAAGAATAATATGGATTATGGCTCATTTGTGTGGAAATTATTTAAACAAGGTCACAAACAAAAGAAATCAGAAAGCCAGGGCAAGCAATTTGAAATTAATACGCTGATTTACTGACTCCATTAGGGTAAAAATCATCCATACAATATTTACTTATTCTAGAGCTTCTGCTAATAGAGAATCTGAAAACATGGAGCTTTCAAGTAATCACTTCACAGCGGATGCGATTGCGTTTCATCAGAGAGGTACTTGCACAAGTTAGAAAGAATTGATAAGACTTGAGTTCTAATATAGCCATATGACTTGAGTTCTAATATACCTAGTTCGCTTAGCATTTCTTCCAGATTATCGAACACGTAGCGTCTTTTTAACAGGATTTAAGTTGACTAGCAATCCACACACCTTATTGTTGACCTGTATACTAAAGCAATAAAAAAAAGGAACTCCATGTACCTGTTCGGACGTCCGGCCACGAACCCGGCATGCCGACGACGAGCTCCGACTTGCACGACGAGTCCTCGTTAAGGCAGAGACGAGGGGAGGACTTCGGACATTCGCCATTACCTCCACTCGAAATCCCGCAAGTTGCGATCGTGATCTTCCCACACAAGAGCGAGTTCCCTTCCTCCATTACCGGTTCCCCCTCTCCAATCCGCGACCACAACCCGTCCGCCTCTCCTCTGTTTTGACCAAACCCGGCATCTCCTTCATCCAGACGAAACCAAGCCCTAGCCGATACGCCTCTTCCTCCCTCTGCCACCGACTGCCCTAATCGACCACCCTAGCCGACGTCTCCACCTCCTTTGACGACATTCCCTTCTATTGGATCGGAAGTAGCGACTGGAACCTTTCGCGCGCTCATTTAGCCAAATCTCGTAAATCCGATGAACTCTCGGATTTGCTAAATCCGAGATTTAAGGCAAACAGGAAACTGAGAATTCAACTTGATGTGAGATTTTTTAATAATTCTTTAAATCCTGCTCAATTTATCGTAAATCCTATTCAAATCCTGCACAAATCATTTTTTGTATTTAAAGTTAATTATAATTAATTATTTTTTTATTTTAAGTAATTAATATGAAGTACAATTAAATATTATTAATCATAAATAATTATTATTAATCACCATTAATTAACTATTAATTAAAATAAAGGGAAAAGAAAGGTGCCTCAAGCCTCGTACATCACCTCAATCTATGTGCCGCTAACCTCGATGCCGACGACATCTTCGTCGTCGCTCCGACAGTCGATACAACCGACGACATCGTCCTCAATCCTTGCACATGTATAAAGTTCCAAACCTTACCCTTGAAGCTTACAACGTGGCGAGCAACCATCAATGCACACTTTTCTTAGCATGGTGGAAGTGAGGCATGAAATTCTTGTGCGTGTTTTTCTTAGCACGGCTAGGCAAAAATTTAAGTAGCGGGAAAACAATTGTACATTTTCAAACATGTATATCTGAAGACCCATACATGTCTTTCTTGGCGTGGTGAGATTGAAGACTACGACAATGGAGACGTCAAACACCGACCGTGCACGTCTTTCTTGACGTGGCGGGAAGGCTATGACTATCAAAATTTCTCCCAAATGGGGGATATGCCGGGTACTTCCAAAATTCAGATTGAAATACACAAAATATGAATAACAAGATGACATAACTTAAACAATTTTTATAGGTGACCTGATTGCAAGAGAATGCAGGGAACAAAACATTAATAAACAACAGGTAACTGGACCCTAAATATTAAAATATACAATAAAATTGAAAAAAATGCAAATGAATGATAATTCAAAATTATTCAAATGCAAGTTAATAAACAAGCAGGGGATTCATGGCGGGAGACCTCCATACATGAATAAGCTGCAATCAAAGGTCAACCACAAGATGTATGAGCATCTCCTACATACAACTGTGAAATACCTTATATGCAAGCAACAATCAGTTTGCATATGGAAGCGGCTACCTTTGCAAGCAATGGCAGAAGGTCTATTATGCACACTGTAGACCAAATAAAGATGATAGTAGACAACATGCGATGAGTGTAATAATGCCTTACAGTCAACATCAACATCTTGCATACAACCCCTTGCTACAAACAAGTACACCAAACCAGCTGTGAATGATGATGGTGGACTGATAGGGATACAACTAACAACATCGTTGTCGACAACCGCACTGGTATAAAGTTCCAAACCTTGCCCTCGAAGCTTGTAGTGCAGCGAACCACACAAGCACACTTTTCTTAGCATAGTGCAAGGAAACTCGCTGTGGTGCTTGCAACAAGTCATGTAATCTTCGTGCACGTTTTTCTTAGCATGGCTGGACAAAAATTTAAGTAGCGGGGAAACAATTGTACATTTTCAAATATGTAACCCTTAAGACTCATATAGGCCTTTTTTTGGCGTTGTAGGATTAAAGACTACGGCCACAAAGTCGTCAGACACTGACTGTACATGTATTTCTTGATGTGGCGGGAAGGCTATGACTCCCTAAATTTCCCTCAAATGGGTGATATACCCAGATACTATCGAAATTTAGATTGAAATGCACAGAATCTGAATAACAAGATGGCATAACTTGAACAACAATATAGGAGACCTAATTGCAAGAGAATGTAGGAACATGATCCTAAACATTAAAATACACAATAAGAATGAAAAGTACAAATGAATGATAATTCAAAATTATTCAAATGCAACTTAATAAACAAGCAGGGGATTCATGGCAGGAGATCTCCAGACATGAATAACCTGCAATCAAAGGTCAACCACAAGATGTACAAGCATCTCCTACATACAACTGTGAAAGACCTTATATGCAAGCAACAATCAGCTTGCAGATGGAAGCGGCTACCTTTGCAAGCAATGGTAGAAGGTTTATTATGCACAATAGACTAAATAAAGATGACAATAGGCAACAGATGATGAATGTATTAATGCCTTGCAGTCAACATCAACAACTTGCATACAACCCGTCGCTACAAACAAGTACACCAAACAATATGTGAATGATGATGGTGGATATAATGCAAACTATCAGCAAGCTGAAGTCAAGAGCCTGCTCCGAACATGAATATCTTGCAAGAAATGAAAGTCAATGGCAAAGGACATAAGTACCTCCTACATGCAATTATGAAAGACTTGTTATGCAATACCTCGTAGATTGAAGTGGTGGCACTTACAAACAACTACATAATACCTATTGAACACACAACAGCTCGCATACGAGTGACTGGCACTGAATGCAACAATACCTCGTAGTTAATGCCAACAATTTGCATATAACTTGCCACTACCAACAAGCTCACTAAAACCACCCGTGAATGATGATAGTGGATATGATACAAGTACGGTGGCTCCCCTATAAGCATATCTAAGAAGATTACAGTAGAAAAAATGCTAGATAGAACAAAGATTCATGGTTTCCATCACAAAGTTAGATCCTACCTATGCATATTTACAATGCTGACATGAACTCAAATCTGGATGCAGTGGCATCCATTACAGTGCAAGCATAGTTCCGAATCAGAGGCAAACATCATTCTTAATTTTCTACGAAAGATGATTCAAAAGCAGAATACATGAGGTGTAACACGAAAACTTCAAACAAAAAAGACGTCATTCTTTGCAATTTCTTTAAAAAATAGCGGGATTATATAATTAAAAGACATTTGAAAGTTCTATGTAATAGCAAATCTAGGAAATTCGATACTCAACTGTTTTTGATAGCTCACTTCCAATTTCCATGGTGCGTAGACACAAGGGAACTATTTCTGTTTGAAGAAGAAAGCTGATAACCTCAGTATCATCATTCTGCAAAACAGATATAAAGATATCGTTCTCAAACAGATACTCTGGGGAAAATATGGTGAAGGAAATGGCATTAAATGATAGTAAAGAAGCCTTCTAATTTATGATTTCAGGACGGCAGAACCCATTGAAGTCACTGTGCAGTTAAGTTACCAGGAAAAAGGTACAGAAAAACCAAATGCAGAACGGATATAATTTTAATTAAGTAGCTAACAGTCAATGGACCATGAGAATTATCACAAAAAAAAAACAGTACTGACATTTAATTATTTTGAAAGAATCCGGATTGTGGTCTCTTAAAAAAAAAATAATAATTAACAGGGGCAAAACTAGCTATAATTTTCAGGGGGGCAAACTTATAAGTAACTGTTGGCAGATTTGTCGGGGGTCCAAGGGTACAGCGCCCCCTGATGGGGTTTGAGGCAATTGCCTAAAAACCCTTATAATAAAGACGAAAAAATTGGAGGGGAACAAATTACCTATACTAAATCTCAACAATCAAGACGATCCAGGAGGATCTCAATATTCTAAATTTCCAAGATAGTTTAGAACATTCCAAGTTGATTCAAAATTCTCCAAATTTTCTACAAATTATAGAAAGGTGTGCGATGAATTTTATCAGGTTGCAGCTACAAATCTATCCAAAGGAGTCCGGCAAGAACTACAGGAATCTGATTTCAGTTGCTTAAAAAGAGGGCATGAAATGTGAAATACAACAATAAATTAACAAGCAAAGCTTATACATTCAAGGAGGCCGGTCAATCCAAACAAAGAATTTGTTCCAATTTTCTATTTCTTATGAATTTGAATAGATTTTTAGATGTTTCTTTGGATGCGAACAACAGAAATTAAATTGGAATAAAGAAAAACTAAGTTTGGATTGAATAAAAATCTAATTTCTTGATTTTTAAATAGATCTTATATATATATCAATTTGCTACTTGATAGTTCAATAAAAAGATAATATGTCATCTTTTAACATTATTTGAGTATTATATAAAAAATCACTTTTAACTTTTATTTGCACTTTATGCAATTTTTTTTTTATTTTGAGGCTCATGCTTCAAAAAGTCTTGAGGCTTATGCCTCGTCTCACGAACAAAAAAAAGCCTCAATACCCAATTGCACAATTTTAAACATTGGTGAGCAATCGATCATACATAAAATTCAACGTTTAAGACCAATCAAGACAATTGACCAAAAAATCTTGAATTTTTTTTCATAACATATAGTTTGACTTTTGGATTTTGGAAAGAATCATTGGTAGGCCTCACCTCTTTGCCTATATAAACCCTCTTTGTGCACTCCAAATGACTACTTGAAGATCTCTCTTGGTGATATCTCTCTCAATCTTTTCAGGAGAATTTTGTTGACTTCATTTTGGATGTTTCAATCTTGTAATAGCATTGATTATTTAATTTATTTGTTGTTTTGTAAAAGCATTATTCACCACCAAAATATTTGATCATTTTTTAGAAATAAATGCTCTTACATCGGAGAGTTGGATGCCTCGTCTATTTCAAAGTCACTCATAGTATGCTGACAAGATTTAATCAACATAATGTCTTAAAAAAGAATCCATTTATTGACCTTCATGCACAATCCATTAGTAAACCCAATCGAACACAATGAAAATGATGGCCAAGAGATGCAATGTCACAAATTCATTTCTAAATGTGTTGCATACATCAAAATTAGCTAAATATCGCCCATTTCATAAAATGATAACATGTAAAGATGAAAACTATCACATCTTCACATGTGCTAAATTTCTATTCGCTTTCTACGCCACCGGATCCTCAATACCTACAAGCAAGCGAACATAATGCATACTTTAAACTTCAAAATGTGACTTTGTGTGCATTTCAATGATTAATACCCATGCAGACAATCAAATTTGGATATTTTTTAAAAACTGTGCACAACCTCGAGAAGTGAGTCACTCTCTCAAGAAGCACGTAGCTGCCTCGAAAAGCATACAATTGCTCTAAGAAGCACACCAACATTTTAGAAGTAAGAAACTACAAGTATATTAAAAAGTGTGCAAATGCACTGAAAAGCTTATAAAAGCATCATGTACATGCATCGAACTCCTAAGTACATTAAAAGTATACAAGTGCATTATGCAAATGCACACAAAAAGTATTTAAGTGTATCGTGCAAACATTTAAAAAAATGTGGATGCTATTTAAAATAAAAATCAAAATAACTACATATGCTTCAAGAAACATTCTAAATTTTTAATAAGAAAGAATGAAAGATAAGAATTCATAACTCAGGATAATACTAATAGTGAAGATGATGAAACACAAGTTTAAAAGTAAAAAATTACCTTTACAAGAGATCCAATCACACCCAAACTAGTCAGTCTAAGATATTCATAAGGCTTGGTCTTGTTTGTAGTCATCAAAAAAGGGTATAAATATAGAGGAATATGAGCTGCCAAAAAAAAAGTGTTTGCTGATGTTAGCATTGCTAAGCCGGCAATTAAGCTTACAAGCTAATGAAGTACTTGAAGATGGTGTAATTTCACAAGTAAAAAGAAATATCTACATGGGAATAGATTCTTAATATATTTGATGAATGTGTAGTATCTTATCCCGTCCTTCCCCAAATAATTGGGATAAGGCTAATGATGATTATGTAGTATTATATCCACATAAGACAGTTATTACCAAAGGGAAGGCACAAAATGTAATTGGATGTTATTCATTGTAAGAAATTAATATCCCGCATCTCATTTCAAACACAAATGAAGTTAGCCTCCACGAACATGGAGAATCATTAAGGATGGCTTCTTTTGGAGAATAGGGGAGAGTATTATTGAACAACAAAGGACCTTTGCGTGTGCACGTATATGCATGTCTCAAAGGTTAAGTTCAAAAAGAGAATTGGAAACATAGTGAGCAAATTTCATGCACTTATCTAAGACCTAGACAAGGCAAGTATAATCCAAAACGAGAAAGGCGAAACACAAATTAAATAAACTTGAAAACAGGCATGATGTTACAACAAGCTAAATCCAAAAACAGAATCTACCAAAAATGTAAATATATATCACCAGAACTAAATAAGTAATGGTAGCTATTACTATGACCACCTTTCTAATTTTGGATTTTTTACCCTTTTCTCTTCTCCATTCATCCAAAGTCCAATACCTATTTTTCATTAGTCTCCTCTATTTTGAAAATAAATCACACCCATAATTTGATTATTTTAATTTTTAACTTGCCATCATATCCGTATGTTCTTTATTTGCAACTTTAATTCATTTTAAGTTTGATCGAAAATACTTTTCATAATTTAAAGATAAATAAATATTGCATAACTAATTTCGTAATCATGTTCTAATATGTTGCATTAATAATACTAATTGATAATGGAAAATTTGTATTTTGTCAAGTATAAAAATTCTGGTTTTTAATCAATTTCATAACATCACAATATTTTTAAATTGACAAAATTAAACTAATGAAGTTTAATATTTTGCGCTTTAAAACTTAAGTTTCATTTTACATAGGTGACATCAAACGCTTTTGCTTTTTAAACCACTGATTCTCAGGTTAGCTTTGAATGAACAATCTCCATGCTGTTTAAGATAGTTTGTAAACTAGAAGTAAATTTCAGTGAGATATAATGAATAAAAATTAACAGATAGAATATTCAGAAACAAGCTTCTATGCATGCCTGGATTTAAACAAAACAATTTCATAGGACATAAAAGATAATAGAAAGAGTTTAGAGCATAAACCAAAAACTAAAAACAACACAATCACCAAGAGTAGCGCAAATTACCATTAAGGAAAGGAATTCTTGTTTCTGAATGAGAAGCTACGCTCTGCACGGTAAAGTCGAACAGAAAATTAGTAAGATCAATAGTTGATGGGCCTCACTATCTAGTCTGCAAGTTACTCGATGATAAAAACTCGTTAAGTCATTATCAATTAAATAAAAAGCACCAAATAAATATACTAAGTAATAAAAGTATAGAGTGGAATTCAATAATCCAAAGAAAACGATTGCAAATAAAAACAAAATTTTGTCAATCAGGTTAAAAGAATACAAATCATTGAGCTCTAAGTTTTGTTTAAGCTGCAAATATTCCTCAAATTGAACATATTTATCACTGAGCCAAACACGAGCCAAATATGAACACTAATTCAAGTAGATGGCCATCACCCTCTAAGTTTAATTGTAATTCAAGATATATTGTGACGGTGACTTTTAGAGTATATTTTATGATTGTTTCACCCTGTTGAAGCTAGGCTTACTAGGCATCTTTATAAGCCTTTCCAAAGTTCTTTTTATGACATGAAGATAAAGACTCGAGAAGGTTGATAAGAATATAAATAGGCCCTTTAAATAACAATGTTACTTCAGGCTAACATCCATCAATCATGAAACTTGCTTATTAGTAACAAGTTTTCTCCTTACTAGTGCTTCCCAATATCACTTATGTGCGAAATTATGCAAAGCACAACACACCTCCATACTATTCTTAAATAGATGCTTACTCCAACATTATCACTAACATAGTTATTAGCTAAGTCTAAATAATCTTGTGAGAATACAAGAAAAAACTTCTTAATTTGTGTTGTATTAAACTTAGTCAATTGAAACTCTCCTGATCTAACTGATACAACATACTGTCTTCTGGCATTGTAAATTTTCCCTTAGAATGAACTGCATCACTGATATTTTGGAAGCGACAAATTGATCTAGATGTTACAATAGAATTTGTATGTTAAGCACAAATCGCAAAAATAAAATCATAAGTTTCATAGAAAATGCCATCTTATTCAAAGAATCGAAAAACTGCTTTCACATTTCTTGTAGCGTGGAAAGCTTATAGATTAAAACTCACAAATTTAGCTGGCAACATTTAATCAGGATTTGCTTATAAACCATTGACAGAATTCTACAAAACCAAGAGCATCAAAAGCTAAAAGTGGAAATGACATCTTCAAATTAAAATCATATTCAATTTTGCAACTAAGCTTATCCGATGAAGAATTTAATGAAACATGCAAGGCATGTTAGTAAAATATAAAAGAAAAGAAGAAAAAAACCATCATATAAGCAAAAAAAAGACAAGACACTGAAGGAAAATAAATATATCAATCATTCGTGCAGAAAGGAGAGCATTAATCTATTTTAACAGATGGTCCACAGAATAACAGCCCGGCAAAAATCAACTCAGCATATGCATTACAAAATAAAACAGAATGGTGCTATAGTAAGAACTTAACCTGAAGAAGAGCAAGTGCATTGCAAACACGATTCGATGAACCTGAGTCTAGAGTATTTTTTGAAAGAACTGGGTATATTGAAACTATTTCCTGCAATGAATCGAAGTGTAATTTGAAAGTCAGACGATATGTACGTGATCTTGCTTTAGTACAACAAGGAAATGACACTTATGAGGGAAAATTATTAGGTCCGAACACCGGACATAGAGATATGTCCGGTGTCCAATAAAATATTGACATGTGGAATTTACACGTGTCCGCGGAATTTTAAGTCAAGCACGTCAAAAGCGTAGGTAAAGTGTAGGTAAAATGCAAATAAAGTACAGGTAAAGCACAGTCAAAGCGTAGTCAAAGCACAGTCAAAGCGTAGTCAAAGCACAGTCAAAACACAGTCAAAGCGCAGTCAAAGCACAGTCCACGTGGTAAATTTTAATTGGATATCCGGACCTATTTTTATGTCTGGTGTCCGGACCTAATAATTTTCCCCTTATGAGGAGATGTTCTGCATTGACTTTACGTTTTTTGACAAGTTATCTGGACTATTACATCATTGTACAGACATTTATTTATGATTCAAATGAACACACAAAATAATCATGCTTGCAAATCCTTAAAAGAAATTGTACGTATAATGTAACTGATATTGCTATGTCAGAAGGCAAGAATAATGTAAAATAACGAAGCTCCCATTATAACAGTTCATCCTAACTTAATAGCTGTAATATCCAAATTTTCAAGTAAAAATGTTAAAATTTCTCTTCAATAAATTATACTCGAAATATTAATGTCGATGAAAATGTGTGGAAATTATCATAATAGTTTTGAGCTTTTATTCTTTTTTCTAAAATTTTATTTTAAATCATTGTTAATTTAATTACTATGAAAAGTATTTAACTTAAACAGTAATGAAACTGAATTATAAGAATTGTTTAATTGAAATACCTATAGTACTAATTACTATTAAGTACTTTTAATAAAATGTTAGCCCCGAAGCAGTTCTAATATATTAACTAATGGTATTTCGTACTCCACTACATCACTAATACTTATATTAATTAAATCCATTTTCTCTCAGCAAACCACTAAATCGAGTTTGCATTGGTTGATCACGATTAAATGGCTAGGAGAAGGTATTAGGCCTTAGCATATTTTTGTGAACAGCATTCCCATTCGGTCTTTCACACACCAGTTAGTGAACGGTTTAGCGTGCAAGAAGGAGACGAATAGAAGGGAGTTTGGGAAGCTATGCTTGCGGGTTCTGTGTGTGGAACTTTGGAGAGGGAGCAGAACATTGGAGGGGGAATTGTGTTAGGCTGGCTTAGGAGGGGCCAGTTGAACCGGTCCAACCTGGACCAGCTCTCTTCTACAATCGGCAGCCCAAGAAAGGGGGCGGAACCAAGGGGAGCGGATGCCCTAGTGGGGCCCAATTACTTAATTAAATTGTTGTTTGGTAGGAAAATTTTGAATTAAGGACTATTTAGGGATTTTGTAAGTTTCCTTTGGCTTTAATTAGTCCTTTTGGATAGGGTTGTTTTTCATCTTGAATTGGAGAAGAGATTTTGAGATCTAGGGTTTGTTCTTTTGGGCTCTAGGCTTTGCTAGAGATTTGGAGAGTTATTTATTCCTCTCAAATTGAAGAAACTTATATATTGTAATGTTTTTCTTGTTCCTGGATTGAATAGAAGAAGTTTCCTTGTGTTTTCTCTCCAATTTTCTAAAATTTCTGCATCGTATTGCTGATTTCTCTCCGAAATCAGTTGATTTCTCGCTGTTTTCACCAATTATTATTAGGTTTGCTTGTGAACTCAAGTATTTCCCCTTAGCGTTACTTGCGACCTCAAGTATTTCCTATCAAATTGGTATCAGAGCACGTTGATCCAAGGGTTATCAATGACCGGAATGAGGGTCGAAATCTTGGAGGGAGAACTTGAACAACAAAAGACAGATTTCGAGAAAACTTCTAATTTTTAGAAACAGTTTGCATCCATCCATGAAAAGATGGATGGAATGTTCTCCGCCTTAGAAGACATGATGAAGAAGATGCTTGAAGACAAACAAAATTCGGTGACATCGGAAACAAAGGAGACCACCGACGGCCATGGAAGAGGAGGAAATCTAAGCCCGTTTAGGGGGAGGGAGAATCCGGAAATGGAGATCCTTGAGGAAGATGAAGGAATGCCTCCTCTAGAATCATTTTCTAATGAGGAGATGAGTATGGGCGATGAAATGAGGGGTGCTGATTTTGTGGGGAGAAGGGAGGATTTCTACCGCCGAGGTGCTGATTTTGAAAGAAGAAGAAGGGAATGTGATGAAGGGTTTGGTTATGATCGTCGGAGGGAAGATCATGACAACTAGGGAGTACCTACTCTTCGAGGAATGGGAGGTTATGGAGAATTTATGGGAACAAGGGTGACCCGAAGGTGAGAAAGTTGAAGATGCCCATCTTTGAGGGTGAGGACGGGCATAGCTGGATCTACAAAGTGGAGCGTTACTTTACTGTCAACAGGTTGACAGAGGAAGAGAAGCTGACGGCGGCAGGACTGTGTTTGGAGGGTAAGGCACTGGCATGGTACCAATGGCGAGACATGAGACAACCCATTTGAAACTGGAGGGAGTTCAAATATTGTTTACTAGAATGTTTCCAAACTGGTAGGGGAGGAGACTTCTATGAGCAATTCTTTGTCTTGACACAGGAGGGGACCGTGGCAGATTATCGTGACAAGTTCGAGTATCTGGCCAGTAGAGTTGACCAGCTCTCAGAGACAGTGCTAGAGGAAAACTTTATGAAAGAGCTTAAAGCGGGGATCTTGGCAGCAGTTAGGGTGATGAGGCCACGAGACTTGGGAGAGGCCATGGAGCTAATACAGTTGTTGTTGGACCAGAACCATATGGAGAGGGGGCTAGGGGGAGCAACTTAGGAGGGTTGTATAGAATGACCGTCTTAGCTCCCAAGGGGCTTGCTCCGGGGAATCCGAAGGAAGTTCCTAAGGAGAGATCTAGAGGAAGGGGAAACGAGGGAAATTTCAAAAGGCTGATGGAAAAGGAGATACAGGAGAAGAGGGCAAAGGGGTTGTGTTTTAAATGTGATGAGAAATACATGCTGAGGCATAGGCGTAAGGACCAAACTCTTCAGGTTCTCACCGTCTGTGATGATGAAGAAGCTGAAGAGGGAGGTGAGAGTGGGTTAGAGGTGGAGAAAGAGGGGAAGTAGCAATTGGATGTAGCAGAAGACTCCTTAAACTCAGTGGTGGGATTCACCCCAAATCACACCAAGAAAATGAAGGGAGAGATAGCAGATAAAGAGGTGGTGGTATTGATAGACAGTGGGCAACCCACAATTTCATCTCCACACAGATTGTTGATCTGTTGGGGGTGACATTAGTGGATACAAGGAGTTATGGGGTGATGATGGGCACGGGAAAGGTGGAAATGGGTAGAGGAGTTTGCAAGGGAGTGATGTTGGCCATACAGGGGATCCAGGTGAGGGAGGATTTTCTTTCCTTGGAGTTGGGAAGCACTGATGTCATCCTGGGGATGAAGTGGCTATAGACCCTGGGGGATACCAAGGTTAATTGGGAACACTGAGGATGGAATTGGTGGTTGAGGGAAAGAGAATGATGATTCAGGAAGATGCAGGGCTATTTAAGGCTGAGGTATCTCTCAAGTCTTTAATCAGGACTATAAAGGAGGTGGGAGGAGGATTTTTGATGGAATTACATCGATTGGTGGAAGTCAGACTAGAGGAATTCCCTCTTTAGTGTAGCCACTCATACAGCCTTTCAACAAGGTTTTTCAACCTCCCCAAGGCCTACCACCACATTGGGAGTTAGAGCACGCAATTACTTTGAAGGAAAGGGTGACACCGATCAGTGTTCGTCCTTAATGTCATTCTCATATCCAAGAAGATGAGATTAAGAAGCTGATCCGGGAGATACTGGAGGTTGGTATTATCAGGCTGAGTGTGAGTTCGTTCTCTAGTCCAATCCTACTGGTTAAGAAGAAAGATGGGAGCTAACAGTTTTGTGTAGACTGCTGAGCTTTGAACAAGAGGAAAGTGCCAGATAAGTTCTCTATTCTTGTGATTGATGAGCTCTTGGATGAATTATATGGGGTAATGATGTTTTCCAAGTTGAATATGAAATCAAGGTACCATCAGATCAGAATGAGGGAGACAGACATTTCAAAGATAGCTTTTAGGATACATGAGTGGCATTATGAGTTTCTGGTAATGTCGTTTGGGCTTACTAACGCCCCTTCTACTTTCCAGTCTTTGATGAGCAAGATATTTCTGTAGTACCTCAAGAAGTTTGTTCTTGTGATTTTTGATGACATTCTTGTGTATAGCAAGACTGATGTGGAGCATCTAAAGCACTTGAAGGTGATTTTGGGAGTTTTACAGGAGCATCAACTAAGGGCCAATCTAAAAAAGTGCAGATTCGTCTAGTCTAGTGTGAAGTACTTAGAACATGTAGTGTCTCAAGAGAGAGTAGCGGGCGATCAAATAAAAATTGAGGTAATGCAGAAATGGCCTATGCCTAGGAACATAAAAGAGTTGAGGGGTTTCCTAGGTCTGATTAATTACTACAGGAGATTTGTGAGGGAGTACAACACCATAGCTTGGCCCTTGACCAAGCAACTAAAGAATGACAACTTTTTGTGTGGAGAGGTAACGACCCAGGATTTTCAAAGATTGAAGAAAGTCATGACTACAGTTCCAGTTTTAGCTCTTCTGGACTTCAGCCATATCCTTATAGTAGAGATCGATGCATCTGAATATGGATTGGGAGCAGTGCTAATGCAGAATCATAGACTATAGCATACTTCAGTCAAGTACTGTCAACCAAGGCTAGATTAAAGTCAATGTATGAGAGAGAGCTGATGGCCATTATCTTGAATATTCAGAAGTGGTGCCCTTACCTTTTGGGTAGACATTTCATTATCCAGACGGATCATAGGAGCTTGAAGTATCTGTTGGAGCAAAGGATGGTGATCGAGCATCAGAGATGATTGTCCAAACTATTAGGCTATGATTTTGAGATTCAATACAGGCCTGATTTGGAAAATAAAGTGACCGATGCCTTATCCAAATG